TAAAAGTTCGCGGTCGCTACATGTTCATTGAGCACACAGTGCTCGAGTACCTTCTGGATATTCATCAAGCACACTGAGTATTTCCATTTCCGTGATTCTTTGATGACGTACTCAACAAACTGCTAACATCCGTCAACACAACACAACCCCCTAATGATATTTGGACAAGGAATTTGCCTAACCTTATTTAGACCTAACGAACTTCTCATTTGACATTTCATGATAAAATCATTTATAAATACTATAAAAGAATCAAATTATAATCCCCACCAATTTGAAATTTTACTAACCAAACAACTCCCACAACCACAACCACACTCCATCTCAACGGCTTTTTCATACATGCTTCTTGAAATACAACAAACTCGAATAATATCATGTGAAACACAAGAAGAAACCACAAGTATGAAATCAACAAATCATCACATAGTAAAAGAAGGCAAGTACATATATTCATGTAATAACTCGAAACATATACAACATTGACTACCAATATGCTAATACTTGCAAAACAAGTTTAGCTATATAATAAATTGAAATATATACAACATAGAATACCGACATGCTAATACTAGCAAAACGAATTTAGCTCATCATTCTACTATTTCCTCCTTTTGTCATTAATGATCAAAGGGACAACCAAGAATCCTCCCCTTTTTAAAAAATGAAAATAAAAAATTGTTACACTGTTCAAATATGTACTGATAACAACTTATCAAATAAATATCACAAGAAGAAGAAATTGATCATGCATACGAATATGAACAATGTGATCATCCCACAACTCACTCTACATTCACGGTACATCGGATCGCCCTTTCCACTATACTTCTCAATCTTGGGATGGATGAAGTTATCAAGTATTGGAGTCTCTTTGATTTCCTTCGAGAATGGCATGCTTTCATCATCATCCACTCACCTCGCTGGCTTATTCGCATATTCCTTATAAAAAGGAATGGAATATGAGGATTTGATGGTTATACCTTCTCTTGTGTGAGTTAACCTCTTTCGGCAACCTGTCATAACTATCGGATTTATTAACTTGATCTGTCCAATAGGTATACTGACACGACCTCGTCTCAAGTCACCCTAATGGACCCAGACGTGGCGTGCGCCGATGATGAATTCCAGCTAGATGCTGGACCCACCACCAAGGCCACATAGATTGTTCTACAACTGGTTGACTATTCTATGACTACAATATTTTTGTCAAAAATTTTTGACATAATTTTCCCTATGAATTAGATAAAACCAACTTGAAAATCAACAAAAACCTCATATAGACATTTATACCAAATATTTTGAGAACCACTAGTTCCACCAATAACATCACAACTAAATCAAAATGAAACAAAACTCGACTGTGCATTTCT